ACATATTTTACACAGTTGTTCTCATCCTTATGAAGACTTTTTAATTTAGTTTGTTTAATCATTTTTAATCTAATTTTTATTTTTTGATGTTTTGTAACAGTTGAATATCTCACCTTTTATTATAAAATGACCATGTTGGATATCAGCGTTATTTAGCTTTCAATTTCCTTAATATTTTTAAAAAATTTATTGTAAAGTTTGCTAAAATTGCTTATCTCTTTAAAAAAAAAAATCAAGAGAAGCGTTTTTTTTTTTTTTACTGTTGTTGCACTTTTACGCTTTTTTCTTTTAACACTTGATTCTTTTTAAAAATTATTAAATTTTTTTGTCGTGAGAAATTTTAGACAGAGATTAATTTTTTTTAGATAATTTTGAAGATCCTTTATTATTTATTTTAAATTACTTATTAAGTTGCTGTGATAATTCATATTTAATTCTCATTGAACGTCTGTAAGCAAATTTAAAATTTGCATTTATTTTTTTATTCACTGTCCTGTAGGATTAGGTACTCTTTGTACTTTATCAAAATATATATGCATGAATTAAACCACAACAGGTAAAATGCCTTTCTGCTTAGAGTATTATTGTTTCAATATTATATATTTCCACATTTGATCTGGTGCTCCTGCTATATATTTAAAGATTTTCGATAAAATCCAAAGAAAAATCTGCAATGTTATTGGTCTTGAACTGGCATCTCAGCTTCAGTCACTTTCCCACCACCATAATGCAGATTCCCTGTGCCTTTTCTATAAATAATTTCATAGTAACTGTTCTGATGAACTTTCTCTATGGTATACCGACTTTATAAATTTAAGCATAGTATTAGATTGTACACTTGAAATAGTGAGATGTAACCATAAGTTCAAGGCTAACAGTTTCTTCTACTGCACTTCTTGCTTGTGGAACTCTCTTCTGGCTTCTTGTTTTTCAGTCTACTTTGATCTTCAAAAATTTAAATGCAATGTCAATTACTATCTTTTCTCTTCTTAATTCCTGTTCCTTTATTGTTCTCCTTCCTTTATGTTTTTTTTTCTCATATTCTCTAACACTCTGTAACCCCTTGCATCTTAGTACCTTTATTGCCTTGCTTAGGGTGAAATGATTAAAAAAAATTAAATAAAAAAGCAATCTTTGTTTTATGCATGATTCATGAAATATGATAGTCAATGAATAAGTTTTTTATTTAATTTTTGATGTATTCTTACAAGTTTTCTTTTTTGAAGACAAAGTGTGTGAAAAAAATTATCCATAGTGTTTATGTGCTCTAGCACTTTTGGTTAATATTTTAACCACTTTCAACGGTTTGGGTTGGGTAATTTTCCATGGTAGCAAGGATTGCATATATATATATATGGTAGTAAACCATTAAAGATAACTCCAATTTAATGTCATAAAGTTAATATTCGGGTTTAATTTTATAAAACCTCTTCCCTTTAAGGCTAATACCTTCTCCCCTGACCACAGCTCATGCCTTTCGTCTGACTGAAACATTGGAATGGATAAATTCTGTATCAATTTTTTTGAATGCTGTCACAGTTAAATTTCTAATTACGACATGAACTCAGTCTGTATACCAAGTTTGAATAAAACTGACTAAGTTTTTATCAGTCAAATTAGGTCTATACCACATATGAGGTAATTTTAGATTTTATGGTTTACCACTATTTATTTGCTTTGTATAATAAATGCATTGAGCTCTTTTTGTGGATAAGTTTTAATATTTTATATTACTAGGATCCACTTGGAATATATACCAGCAGATTTATTACCTTTACTATATATATATATATATATATATATATATATATATATTGTCATCCACAGACAGACTGTTTCACAGCTCATCAATGTGGCTAGACATCCAGTTGCCTCTTGCTAGGATCAACATTCATTCAGCCTTGGACTAAGCTAAATTTTTGTTTATGCATGTCATATTAGAAGCCAAATATGATAAAGATTACCGATGACTTAAGTATAAAAATTTTACTTTTATTACTATTAGTCTTTGTTGTAATAATAATGTTTAAGCATCTTGGTTGTGTTTTTCACTATGTTCTTTTGAGAGAAGTGTATTTTAAGAAGGACAGTCGGTTTGTGTAAAAAAAATCGTTACATGTGTATATCTTTTTAGGCTCAGCAGTTAAAACCTACCAAAATTGTTAAGAATCCATTATTATTTTTTTTTGTATTTTGTGGCCAATGAGAGCTATGGTCTCAATCCCTTATAAAAACTTGGATGGAGTCTTCTGTGAGCCTCATTTTTTGCATAAATAAAACTCAGGTCAGTGAACATGGGAGAAAACTTTTTAACAGCAAGAGAACAAAGCAAATTGACATCAAGGAAGAGAGCATCAAGAAGGCACCAGTTACCAGCCAGCTGCAGAGAGCCTTGAAGTTAACAAGTGAAAAATTTTCCTGTGGTTGGAAAACAAAGAACGAGAAGAATTCAAAGAAATCTTTCTAAGCACAGTGTGAATTTAAAGAGGACTTTTCTAAAGTTACTATATGTCACAGAGAAGTATGTAGGCCAAGTAAAAATAGGTGTTTTCACATTTGTTTTTCTGCATTCTTGAATTGTTTTCTCTTTATGTCATTGAGTTCTTGTGTTTTTCCTAAACTGTAACCTTTTTTTCCATTTTTCGATGGTAATCCTTTTTTAAAACATCAGAAATTTGTTATCCTGCCTTAATAGGCACACAAAAGTAAATTTTTGTGCAAAGTTTTATATTTGTACCTTTTTGGCTTTATTTGTGTATTAAATGTTTTACCTTGAAAATTTTACACAGTGGTTGAGTCTTATTTTGTTATTTACGCCTATTTTGACCTCAAGGAGAAGAGAACATGTTCTCTTTTCTTTTTCTATTCCTAATAACTAAGTTTTTTGTGTTTGGCACAAGAATTTAGATTTGGTAGGGAATTAAAATGTTTATATTTTGCACAAAAGACGAATGTGGTCTTTGTGTAATTTTAAATTTTTATATAAGAGTCTGTGAAATGTGTGATCAAAGATACCATTATCCAAGTGACTTGACTTTTTCTGATTAAGAGATTCCAGAATTAAAAATATACTATTATTAACCTGGTTTAAGTAAGGCTTTGAAATATCTTAAAAATGCATTTTGGCAATATGGTTCATATTTTCTATGTTTTTATTTGCTTTGAAAGTCAAATATTTAAATCATGTTTATAGCGATATTTGATCAATATTAGGATTGATACATTTTCTACTGCTTATCAATTCTTTGCAGCTTATACTTTTAGATTGTAAGACATTTTCTATTTGCAGATAATAATGGTTTTGTGAGACAAGTCTTACTAATTAACCCATAACTAGGGGAGAGAAGAAGTGGAATCATACCTTTCTGTAGTGAAAGAGATAGTCAAGGTATATCTCGATGTACTCTCGGCCGACGGAGAAGTGAATCTTATGCCAGGGTATTTGTGTGTAAGTGAATATAATGAACCCAACAGGAATTGGAACTCAGCTCTCCAGATATATTAAGAGCACTGCATTGTCTAATATATGTATGTGTATGTAGTATAATATTTAGAGAGGCTCGGAACGAAATATTAACAAGCTGGGTTCAAATTTTGATCAAGATCAGTGTCAGACCTATATTTTTGGGGCCCTGAAGCTTGAACAAATATGGGTGTCCCTTTGCAATCAGCAACAAGACATTCAAGGATCCAATTTCCAAAATGTAGCCTTTGAATAGATTCTGTTAAGTGCAATAAGTCAATACAGCTGGATATTCTAATGCTTCAAGACACAAAGAAAATTTTGCCAATTACAGAGGAATTTTGAGGCCATATTAAATGGATATATTTTAAGGTCAACATTAGCTTACTTCAACCCATTGGCTTGTGATTCTATCATTAAAATTGGCCCTATTTTAATAACACTTTTAAAAAAATATCGATTTTGGTGAAAAATTCACTCATTAAAAAAAGCTTCATTAGTTTCATAGTAGATCTTCAACTAGTCAAGATCATTACATTCACTTTTGCACATATACTCTTGGGTAAGATATGAATGTATCTCTTCTCCCCCAGCTGTGGGTTAAATAGCAGGGTAAACTGGACTTTCTGTATAGGAGAAAGACCTCTGAATTTAAAACCATCTGTGGCCTTGGTATGGCATATAAATGAACTGTAACTGAGATTTATTAATTATAGATGCAGTATAAAGCACAGGTTGTCTCTGTGGGTGTTGAAAAAACACAAATGGGAGAATATGGGAATGATCAGAAACGAACAACCATGCTGAAAATGAGAAATCACACTGATTTGCAATGTGTCATTAAGTTTTAAAATCAGTTTTGATGATGATAGATAAAATTAAAATGCAAAAAAAAAAATGAAAGAAAAAAAAATTAATAGTTTTAAAAAGAAGTAGATTAGACAAAACTTGAGATGACAAAAATATTCATTAAAAAAATAAATAAATAAAATAATAAATGCCAGTATATAAAAAGTGTTAGTCTCTTTTTATATGGTCCAAACCAAAACCAAACACTTGATGAAATGATTGTATGGACATTTTTTGTAGGTAATAAATAAATTAAACCTAAATTAGCGAACGTAAGAGTAAAATCAAATAAGTAAGAATATAATAAACTTATCCTGTCGTTTAGTATAAATTATTGAGATTTAAACAGATGACTTGAGTCATAAGGTAGTTAAGTAAGTTTTCTAAAGTTTTCTTATCGTAATAATGGCGTTTCAGTGGTTTGCAATATTAAAAAAGAAAAGGAAGAAGAAATTTATATGTATTACAAAGGGACACAACTCTTGAAAGGCTGCACAAATTATCTCCCTTATGTGCAGTAATAATAAATAAATGGTCTAGCCTCGCAGTGGTTAAAAAAAAAAATAAAAAAAAAAAGAAAGAAAAAAAAGGAGTACGCATGCGCGATACACAAGGTTCTGTTTCTCTTTAGATGTAATCGTGGGAGATACCGCATACAGTTTTTTTTACGTACTTATATACCTAAAGAATGGCTAAGAACGAGCAGGTCCTAATCTTAGAACCTGCCAACGAATTGAAATTTCGAGGTAAGACTTCATTCCGTCCCTGAATGTCTCCTGTCTGAAGTGTATACGTGTATTTATCGTCAGCGGAAGGAAGAGGGTGGCTACTGGCGTTTTAAGAAGGGCGCCTCTCGCTCTCTAATGTAAATGCTGTGGACAGACAGCACTGTTTTCTTTGTCTATCCCTTTTAATTCTAACGTATTTTACTGCTGTTTTCCTCTTGTTGACTTATTAATGTCTATAGTCAACACTGAGACTTTGACAAGCCTACAAATAAACGCTTTCTTGTTCGTACGAAGTATTTTTAGAAGTAGACTTGAGATATCATGAACTACTGTATGAGTGTAGCTTTTTGAGTGTCAGCAGCATTTGTAAGGATGGCGATGTATAATATCATTTCTTGATCAAATATCGCTATTATTCTTTTAAACATGATTTTAATACTGATAATGTTTTCCGATTGATCGATTATATTGACTGTACAGTTTTTTTATTGTTTCTTTACCCGCATTTTCTGCCGATTAACCTGCTGTGTTCGTTCTTTATTGTCTAATGTCGGTTGTTGATGGCTGACTGGTTTGTCCTGCTTTTTCTTATGGCAAAAGGGCCGCCGCTACTTTCTCACCATATTTTACCTTCGTTGTTCGCCTGACAGCCAACAATCAACTCTTTTCGTTTCCTACGAACTAGGACACTATCACGTGGATCGTTCTAACGTTGAAAATTTATATTTTTGCATATGTCTATATATGTAATTTTGTATGTTACTTTTCTTGCGTAAGAAGTGAATGAATAATAATAAAAAAAAAAAAAGATGAATGTCGTTTTAAAAAAATGAAGAAAAGAAACCTGATGTTCGTACCTGTCTTCTCTTCTATTTTTTTCTTTCTTTCATATATGGAGAAATAGAAAAAAATATATTTTTGTAAATAAGTCTTTTATTTTTTCCCTCCCTCGCGCGCTAAAAACCGTTGCTGCAAAATTAATTAAGTAATAATATTACATGGCAAGTTGCCGGTTCGAAATATAAGTAACTCTTATTATGAGTGTACTCATTCACATTATGTTCGTGTGATATATATATATATATAATAGTGTATGTCTAATGAATTTAAATAAAGCTTATCGATCAGCAGATTCAAACTATGGCGTTCTCTAGAGTCAATCATTTCTGCTTTTAGTTTTCACTCCTTTTAATTTTTTGTCTCCTCGCTCTCTCTCTCTCTTCCCCCCCTCTAGTGCTAATGCCAACCCCCCTGGAACAATCTAGAGCTTTATCTTTGCTACTTTCTTTTCATTTTCTATTTATTTAATTTATATCTTTTTACTAATCAATCCTATATCCGTTCTGGACTACTTCATCAATATGAAATTCCAGTTGATCTTTTTAAATTTCAATAGGATTCTGAAACAGCGACTTTTTCTCCCCCACCCTTTTTTTTTGTTGTTCCGCTCGATACAATCCGATTTTTAGATCGTTTCAGATTTTGATATTTTTCTACGAAATGAAGCCATAAACATTTAAATTATATATAACGTGTATTTAATTTAACACCTACCTTAATTCAGCCTTTCTAAAAAGATTCATTCAGTGCTTTAAATTTTTAAATGCTCTAATTACAAAAACGTATTCTACGGTCAACACGTTTTTTTTTTTTTTTTTTTTAAGACTTTCTTTTTAATATATTGCTTGCAAGCTGCCGCAGTAATAATTTCGAAGTACTATTTTGTTGACTACAACATCCTCTTCTCTTACTAACAGCATTATGAAAGCTATGGTGATCAATGAATATGGTTTTTACCTGAACGATTATTATTAGCAAATACCATGCTGTACTGATTTCGTTACAACTTCTTAACTGACATATTATGGCGAGGGTCATTACTACTAACTAACTAACCTTATTGAGTATTGACTGTTAAAGTGTTAGGTAATAATAATAGCAATTATGACCCTCTTCATGACAGATTTTACATTCGCCGCAGAAATGAATTCGCATTGTTAATAATACTTGTTTATTTCTCTAGCAATGGTATTTCAATGTAGTTATTGCTTTTTCTGGTATAACTGCATTTAGTCTTCTTAATTAACATATAACTATTAATTCTGTACAGTAGTCGTCATACTCTGAGCTGTGTTAATCTGTTTTACTTTTAAAATAAGGTTTCTTTTTTTATATTTAATTTTTCTTCTGTTTGCCGTGTCATTGCAATGTCATAAAGCTATCTGCATCATTTGGAGACTTCTTCGCTATAGTTTCAATTGCCACCCCCCTACACCTTTTTTTCCTCCTCCTCCATCTTTCATCGAACTCCCATACTGTAGCTGTGAGCGATTGACTTTTTTTGTAAAATAAACTAACAGGATTTAATTGTAGATTTACTCTAAGGGAGGCTGTAAGCTTTTTGTGTTTAATTTTCACAATTTATGTGCAAAGTTTGACGTAATGACTCTGGAAATAATGTAGGATGGTGTCTTGAACAACATTAGGATTTTTCTTTTCTTCATAATCTCGTTTTTTTTGTTGGTTTGTTTTTTATTTGAAATAAGATTAACTATTTTCAAGCCTTTTTAGTTTTTACGGTGTGTAAATATTAAGGTGCATTCTATTCTGATTAATATCAAATGTATTTTGCGAAAAAATCTCATGATTGCAGCTAATATGGTGGTTGCTTTCATTACATGCAAAGCTGAAAATTGTTTTCTAGCTTAAAACTTGATTTTTATTTAATAGACTGATTATTAGTTTTTGGGGGGATGGGGGTTTGTGTGTGTGTGCATTTGTGCAGTAATAAATTGCTCGGCTAATTGCATGATGCTTGCGTATATCTTTATCTTATAAATGAAGAATTGTGCGTTGTCACATGTTTCAGTGTAAAATCTCTTGCTTCAAAAAGCAAGCAAGCTTTGCACTCGCTGAAGAAGCAGCTTTTTAATAGTAGCCTCTGTCTTCTTGAGTGAAGGCTACACTGCAAACTTAACGAGACATACTGTGTATGCAGTTGGGTTCTAAACTCGACTGTCGAATTTTTAAAAGGTCATTGAAAAACGGTAGGGGTTACGATTGATAGTTGGATCCGTGGATATTTGCTTCATCATGACATTTCCTATCGAGATCAGCTGTTTGTTTAAATGTTGATTGCTGATCTCTTCAAGGATTTCACTAAATTACAAAGCTGATTAACTATCACTGCTACGATCCAGGGCTGTTTTTTTTTCTTTACTACAGTAAATTACTTGTTCTTATTTTTATTTTAATCAGCAACTGCTGCAAAACTACGTAAAATAAAATAAAAAGTGTCTACCTGAACACCTTTCAGAAAATAAGAAATTTAAATTCGGTAATAAGTAAATAGACGCAGAATTTAATAATGACATATTTGATAGAACTCTAACCTTGGCTTTTTTATTTAAATAAAATAATTTAATCCATCTCGAACAGTTACCGTGGAGTGCATTAGTCAAGATAAACTTAATTTTATTAATTATTTACCATCGGATATGCGGTGATTTGTTAAAACAAATTAATTGTTCCTGTCTAAATTAGCAAGTATTTATTAATGACATTGATGCCCATAGCTTTTTTTTTTATCGTTTTTCTCTTAGCCAATTACGGTCGGGTAATGGATTATTATTTTTTTTTTTTTTTTTTGTTGGTTAGCATTGTAATGAATTAAATATTTTAGTTTCCAGCTCTTCAAAGTTTAAAAGGATATTATTTTTTTTTATTCGGAAATTTTGGGCGCTTTCACTGGAATTAGGAGTTAAACCTCGTAATGATGTTCTGTAGCTCAACGTTTGACTTTCCTCTTGAGTAAATTTAGGATTCTGTCATTTTCTCATACAATATTTATGTACTGATCGTTTTTTTCTTTCTCTATTTCTCCCATGGTTAACATGACTTAGTATTAATACTGCTATAACACACTTTATTTGTAAAGAAAATTATACATTTGCTCTGTAATTTTGGATAACGTGCCTCTAAAAATATGGCTTTTGTTGCCACTGCATTTTTTTTTTTTCTTTTTTTAATTATTAAAAAAGAAATAACCTTCAAAGTCAAACAAAATTCACCTGCTCAATGAAATTTAAAACTAAATTTGTAACTTTAATATTTTGCAGCTTAGATGCAAATGTACGATGTTACTCATTTATGTGGTAAATTCATTTAAAAATGCTTGTTTTTATGTTTCTGAAATAATTTGTCACCTTTTTTTTTTTCTTTTTTTCTCGCTCAATTTTTTGTTCTTGTAGATTCCATTACTGAGGAATCTATTTTCGCTCTTTCTTTTTTGCTGTTATGCCTGTTTAGGACCCAACCTTACTGGCTTATGCTAATTTGCTTCTTCGTGCACATCTTGATGCCTTTTTTCCTTCCTCTTCTCATCTGTAGTTATATCCAGATCCTATTTCAAGTCTCGCTTATTTTACCTTGTTTGTGAAACTGTCATTTACTTACTTTACTACTATTATGTTTCGTATTAATTATGCCTTTAATAAAATTTGAAAATTTTACCAAATTGTACTTCAACTTCACTTATATATATTTCTTTAATTATCGAAATGTGAAATTAAGTACAGATGTTCTCTATTGCTCATCTTATATTAATAAACTCAGCATAGTCAACCTGTTAATATATCTTACTTAACAGTAAACTCAAAATATATGTGAAAAAATAGATAATTATTTTTAAGGATGAAACTTTGTAGAATTTGGACTATACATTTTTTTCCGGCCATTGTTTAAAAATGAATATTTTACTTGGCAAGTCTGCTCATACTCTGTTGGTCAATCAGCTGATAGTGATTGAATTGTTGAATTTTCTAGTATTCTCTCTCAACTGCACTGGATTCTAGGCAGACTGTTCCAAGAAAATATTTGAAGTGCGAACAGACGGACTCCTTGCAACAATAACTGGAACAATATATACCTCATTTTTGATCGTATGGGTAAACTGTTAAAAAGGATAAGTGCTTCAACTCCAATTGTAATCTAAACTGAACAGCATTATACTGCTTCTC